GCACATCGTTCGGCGGGCGTGCTGCTCCAGTCTCCCTGGACGAGACACTGGGGCACCGGGGCACGGAGGCGCAGCGCTCGGGGAGACCGATCTCACTCTCGTAGCGCGAGGCACGCGGTGCCGTGGGACATGAGGTAGGGGAACCAACAATGATGTAGTAAACATAAACTTTCGGAGGTTTGCACGGATTTCTCGAATCGGCGCTGGGGCCCCCTGGCGGCGCCTCCGGTGTCGCGAGTTCCGCGCGCCAGGGAGGGGGGTTCAGCGCCGATCCGAGAAATCCGCGCAGACCTCCGAAAGCTTTGTTTATGTCACTGTTTGTTCTCCGATAAAGGTGCGTTGACTGGGTGGCCGGCACGATCTTCACAACACGGGACGCGCGGGCATGCCACTTTCGCGACACGGCGCAGGGGGGGGCACGGGCTGGAGGACCGACTGCATCCTCCTCGAAGGGAGCATGGGGACAGCGCAAGGGAAGCAGCATCGCGTACACGGCACGGGGAAATGGTGTTCAGGAGGTGGAATCAACGCCCGCCATAATATGGCCAACCCTCTACTAAGGCATAAGAAGGCCGACAGCGCCTGCATTGCGCACGCACCCCCATGCACGTCTGAAAACATATACACACCGACCCCACACACACACACACACACAGACACACACACACACACACACACACACACACACACACACGCACACACACACACACACTTTTGGTCGGCGGGGTGAGAGCGAACCTCTTCCGCTAAAAGCTAGGCAGGCTACGCACAGCTTTAATTAGGGAGACAGGGCACAAGAAGGCGGGACCTCAGGCGGCCGGAGTGGGCGGAGCCCGGGGTGCAGGCGGTGCCGAAGAGCTTGCACAGGAAAAGGTACGCCGCGGACAGGGACCCGGAAGGCACACACACACACACACACACACACACACACACGCACAAACACACACACACACACACAAACACACCTCTACATACTCACAAGGTGAACCACATGCACCAAATACACATGCGCATTCCATACAGCAAATGATCGATTTCGCAGATACGCTTCCTGCTCACGCTCACGATTACTCACCGAAAAAAGTGTTCAGCTTACCGCACCCTGGCATACAGGTATGTAAGATGGCACGCGCTGTCAACACACGCGTTCGCGTATGCCTGATACACATGGCCAGATCCTTGTAGACCTCTGAAGAACACATTGCAAGCACCACGGCCGGGGCGTGCTGTTCCTGAGCTCTCTCCCTCTCTCTCCCGACCCCTAAACCTCCTGGAGGCGACGAAGCCGTCCGAAAACCCGCCCGAACCTCGACCCTCGAACCTCCTCGCACCTCCTCGGTGGGAACCCTGGATGTCCCCTCCATTCCAGCACCGATCGGGGCGCTGGCCGAGCCCCGACCGAGCTGAGCTCCACCTGTACATCCAATGATTCGAAAGAGCGTGTTCTGCCGCTGCTGGCAGAAAACCGGGGGAAGTCACTGGGGGGTTCAAACCCGTTTCCCCCCCGGGTCCATCATGAAAAGGGGGGCGTCAACCGGTTCGAACGCCCCCCATTTACTCGCCGCCGGCAAACGACTCCCCCTCCTCTCTTCCCACCCTCCAGATGGGGGACTGGTGGGGACAGTGGTGGGGACGGTTGTGGGGATGGTGGTGGGGACGGTGGGGACAGTGGGACAGTGCGGACAGTGGGGACAGTGGGACAGTGGGGAAACGATTTTCCCTTCAACTCTGGAAGGGGGACTGTGGTGGGGACAATGGTGGGGACGGTGGTGGGGATGGTGGTGGGGACAGTGGGGACAGTGGGGCACTGGGGACAGTGGAGACAATGGGACAGTGGGACAGTGGGGACAGTGGAACACTGGGGACAGTGGGACAAAGGGACAATGGGGACAGTGGGACAGTGGACAGCGGGGACAGTGGGGACAGTGGAGACACTGGGACAGTAGAGATACTGGGAAAATGGGGACACTAGGAAAACGGGAAAGTGGTACAGTGGTGACAGTGGGACAGCGGCGGGGACAGCGGGGACAGTGGGGACAGTGGGACAGTGGTGGGGACAGTGGCGACAATGGGACAATGGTGGGGACAATGGTGGGCACAGTGGGGACTGTGGGACAGTGGTGGGGGCAGTGGAAACAATGGGGGTACTGGACACAATGGGACAGTGGGGACAGTGGGACAATGGGGATAGTGGGACAATAGGACAATGGTACAGTGAGGACAATGGCGGGGACAGAGGGGACAGTGGGACACCGGGGACGGTGGGACGGCATAGTGGGACACCGGTGGGGACAGTGGGGAGTGGGAACAGTGGGACACTGGCGAGGACAGTAGGGACAGTGGGACAATGGTGGGGACAGTGGAAGGAGTGGCACCGTGGCGGGGACAGTAGTGGGGAAAGGGGGACAGTGGGACAGTGGTGGGGGCACCGGTGGGGACAGTGGAGAGAATGGCGGGGACAGTTGTAACAGTGGGGACGGTGGTGGGGACATGTCGGAAAGTGGCGACAGTGGTGGGGACAATTGGGACTGTGGGACAGGTGGTGGGAACGGTGGTAGTGGGGACAGTGGCGAAGCGGTGGCGACGACGGTGGTGGGGACCGGGAATTCATTTGCAGGCGGCGAGGAGGGGGGAGTGGGGGTTCGAGCCGGTAGTGAACCCCACGGTTTTCCCGGGGGGGGGGTTCGAACCAGTAGTCAACACCACGGTTTTCTTGGAGGGGGGGGGCGGGGTTGGAGAGGGGGGGTTCGCCGGGGGAAGCGGGAGGGGGGGTTTGAAAAAGGAGAAGGGGGGGGGGGGAGGGGGGGAGGGGGGGGGGGAGGTGGAGGGGGGGGGGGGGAATTTTCGGGGGAAGGGCGGGGGGAACATCCCGTGTTCTGGAGGGAGACGGGGAGGGGACTTTTGACAGCAAAGCGGCGGTAGATCACGCTCTCTCAATGATTCGCTACGAACCCGTTCCGCAGGTGCCGCGCACCCGTGAACGCGGCTCGCCCAGACACCGCCGATGTCTCTTCGATGTCCGATGGAAAGAATCCAAGCACTAGGAATCCCCGGACAACCCTCCGGACAACCCATGCTGAGGAATGACGACAAGACGGCCTGCCCCGGACAACCCCTTGGACAACCCAGCGGGGCTCCAGACAGCCCCCCTGGACGACCCCACCCTCGGACCAGCCTCCCTGGGATGCCCCTTCCCATAAGATGGAGCAGCCTGCTCCGCGCGCAGCCCGCCGCGCCGAAGCACGGCGCCCCCGACGCTCTTGGAGGAGGAGGAGGAGGAGAGGAAAACGGGGAGGAGGAGGAGGAGGAGGAGCAGGAGGAGGAGGAGGAGGAGCAGGAGGAGGAGGAGGAGGAGCAGGAGGAGGAGGAGGAGGCGGCGGCGGCGGCGGCGGAGGAGCGGGAGGGGGAGGGGGAAGGGGAGGAGGAGGAAGAGAGGAAAAGGGGGAGGAGAAGGAGGAGGAGGAGGAGGAGAGCGCACTCCGTTCCCGCAGTTGTTTTCCCGCCCCTGCTGCCGCGCCTTGCTGAACTTCAACTCAGACTGGTTCCCCTTATAGTAGCCGTCGAGCAAAAGCAAAGGCAGCAGCGATCGAACGAACACGAGCCCGAATTAAGCGAGACGCACGCGCACGATCGAACAAAAAACACTGACATGGAGCTGATTGAACGCATTCAAAGTTAAATCGAGTGCAATGCTGATGTGTAAAACAACCTGGCGAGAGAGGGAAGGGGGGATCCCAAAAATCCAAGAGCTAACCTCACCTGTGGCCCAATTCGGAGGGAGGGGAGGCGGAGGGCCATCACTTCAGGTTGAAAGGCTGGACAGCGGAGGCAACGCTGGAAAGCATCCCCACCCATGGCCGCACATCCAAATAGACAGCTCTGGGCCCCCGATCTACATCGAGACGTGGCGTTCCAGAATTTCGAGATGGTCTCGAGGGCGGAGGTGAGGATGAACGGAGGAAGATCCCGCCCAACAAGCCGAATGCGAATAAGCTGATGATCGACGATCTGCTCGGAAGATTCAAGATAAAAGTGCTTGATACGCGTGAAGACTGACCGACGACAGCTGGATGGAGCAAGATGGAACTGGTAAAATCGCACTGCTTTCGCCTGCAGACCGACGAGCAGCGGGTCAGTCGGGATGCCAAGGATGGCAATCAGCTCCGTCCACACGGAAACGAGGTACTCTAAGATCGAATTATTGTAGAGCTGCTGCCACCGATATGCTACAACCCAGTCGCCCCCCTCTAAGATGTCGGTAAGCTTTCTTTTGTTGCGGTCGAAGGCCACACACTTGCAGCAAACTCGATAGGCAGCAGCTTTACAATACAGAGCTTATCGTCGCACGTCAATCGTGAAGCCAAACGCGGTCAGGTGATGCATCATGATGGGGGTAAGCGCGATGTTGGGGCCACGTGTTAAACGTGTTATGGGTTTGGCTTCGATCTTCAAAATCTGAACGGATGGAAGGAAGACCTGCGCGACGCACGTGCAAACGGGGAAGCAGTAGATGTTATACGCCTCTACATTCTGACCGAAGGACAGGCCGAGCGACTTAAGGTGGAAGCTTCTTTTAGTAAGGGACGAGGCCGGTCCTTGCCACGAAAGCTCCCGAGATCCAACCCCATGAATAAGGCCCAGATGTTCCCCACAATCAAGTAGCTTGAACTTCCGAATATGGAGGCCCCAGCGTTTAAAAACCTCCCGAACGGCGCCAGGATCGAATCGACGAGGTATGATGATTTGAGTCTTCGCGATGTGGATCTGGAGCCCAATACTTTTGGCCTGCTCAAGGAGCCCCGAGTACCTTGGGCAGAGAGCTGTACACGTTTACTGCGACCATGGCGAGGTCATCCGCAAACCCGTGGAGCGAGAACTCGGGGTCGTACATGGAGCCAGAGAAACTATGCAGGTACCGAAGCACAGGGTCAAAGCAGACGGCGAAGAGCGCTCCCGATAGAGGACACCCCTGTTTCACCCCTCGCTCGACTTTGTAAGAATGACCGCTGGCTCCCCGAGAATTGACAAAGATGTTCACGTTCTGATGAAGTTTCAACACGGAGCTTCGCTACCAAGACGGAACGCCAATCTTCTCGAGCACGTGCTCGATCCAATGCACATGCAAGCTCGGGAAGGCCGTTTTCATGTCGAAGCAGCATGCTCCGCACTCCTGCTCGAACTCAACCTCGCTGAGAATCGCTCGCACCGAATCGACATCTATGATATGCTCGAGTCCTTGGCGGCCAGGCACAAATCCCTGCTGGATGCCACAAAAAAGGTCGGTTGACGCCCTGGCAAGCGGAGCGGCAAGGGCAGCGGCAATAATCTGATTGACGGTCTTACTGAAGGTGAGGGGACGAGTGGAGGCGGGGTCACGGGTTTGGGTTCGGATGGAGGGGTCCCCATCTCCCATGGGCAGAAAAACTGCAAGTCCTTCGTTGAAAGGAGTCGTGGACCTCGCCTCCAGCGATCACGTGCTGGTACAGACCGTACAGAGCAGAAGAAAACACCTGGTCTCCAGCCTTCCAGGCTCCATAGGATATGCCATCAGGCCCGCGTGCTGACTCACGGCATCGACGAATTAGGTCTGCGAACGCCTCCTCCGATACCTTCCAATTCGAATCGGACGAAACAGTCTGAATGTACGGGTCCAGAACCTTAAAGTGCTCGGGGTCCACGAAACGCTTTTGCCAATCTCTCCCCAGTATGCCGCCAAGGCCTTGGCCGATTCCCCGGGCGATGCGAATGGAAGTCCGCTAGAGCTGGTAATGCTGTGAAGATAGATGCGACGATCGAACGGGGCCCATGCAGCAGCTAACTCACGAAGTCGAGCGACTCTCTGATATTTGCGTTCTGCCCTAACAGATTGGTCAGCTAGTAGCTCTTGCTCCTCACGCTGCAACGAGACATTCATCAGACTGGCAAACTCATCCTGAAAGCTCTGCTGGTCGTGCCACTGCATGACCTCACAAGCGAAAAATTGCCATAGCCTCGGGAACGCACAGCAGGCTCGCCTAGCGGCGTGACGATCTTTATTCCTAGCAGCCCGAGACAGTGCGAGCATCCAAGAAATCCTCTCCTCAACGCTTTGGGGCCCACGGACCTCATGCCAATGGTTAACGCGACGAGCAGCCTCATAGATAACTTCTTTACAATCCCGAATCCTCTGAGCAGGGTCGTCGGAAAGATCGATATCAGCCAAAATACCTCCAAGTTCAGTTCGGAAAAAAAACTCAGAGCGGACCACCCACTTCGGAACCGTGTAGCGGCTGGCACCAGCAGACGGAGCAGCGAGGGAGAGGAACACGGCAACGTGATCACTTGGCAGACTGTCTTGAAAGAGATTGGACACGACACCAGAGATAGGCTTGCAGTCTAGCAGGACCATAGAGGGAGTGTATATCGGAGGTGAGGGGGTGAGATCGAAGTGGAACGGAGAGCCCCCCTACCGGGAAATCGATTTCGGTTTCGTGTTCGTGCGTGCCGTGCGTGCGGGCGAGGCGAAGCTGCGTGGGCGGGCGAGAAGAAAGTCTCCTGTGGCTGAGGCGCGGCCGGACCAAATGTCTCCCTTCCGGGCGGCCGGTGGCCCGCGGTGTCCCGCCGGTGTCCCGCTGGTGTCCCGTGTGGCTGAGGCGCGGCCGGACCAAATGTCTCCCTTCCGGGCGGCCAGTGGCCCGCGGTGTCCCGCCGGTGTCCCGCGGTGTCCCGCGGTGTCCCGCGGTGCCCCGCGGTGTCCCGCCGGTGTCCCGCGGTGTCCCGCGATGATGATGATGATGATGATGATGTTGATGATGAGATGATGATGATGATGATGATGATGATGATGATGATGGTGGTGATGCTGATGATGATGCTGCTGATGATGCTGATGCTGATGCTGATGCTGATGCTGATGCTGATGCTGATGATGCTGATGCTGATGATGATGATGCTGATGATGATGAGGACGATGATGATGATGATGATCGAGTGAGATCGAGTGTGAGATAAATCGAGTGAGATCGATTGTGAGATCGATCGAGGGAGATCGATCGAGCGAGACCGATACTGAGATCGATAGTGAGATCGATAGTGAGACCGATCGAGCGAGACGTTGGTTCCTCCCCCCCCGAACCTCCTTATCACCCGAAGGGTGGTCGTATAGGTATATACAATACTGTCAATCCTTCCCACAGAGATAACTCTATCGTCCCTAAATGTTTTATGAGTGTGGCGCGGTTGAAATACTTCTGCATATCCCCTGAACTGGTCCTGGAAGTAGTGAGCGAGGTGAGGAGATTGCATAAGTGTCGCGCCGTCCCGAGTCCGAAGCCGCCCTTCACCAGCAGCGCAGAAATTGAAATCCCCTGCCAGAACAGTCGTAGCAGCAGCGGGCTCAAGAGAAGCGTGCGTAAGTTCCCGAAGCTGACGCCGTATCGCCGTGTGAGAGAGGGAGGGGTCGATATGGACACTGATGAGCTGGAGACACCCGGCTGCGCCGAACATATGAACGACCAGAACGCGTCCCTTGACAATTTCCGAAACCTTGAAGACCTGAAACTGAGATGCAAGCCTCTCGTGGACCAAAATAGCCACTCCACCAGCATTTCCAGACTCCATGAAGCTCCCGAAAGCTTTAAACCTGGGATGACGATGACGAACCTCCTCCAAGTCCTCCTCGTTCCCATGGGTCTCCTCGACGAAGAGGAGGACTGGCTGGCTGGGCGCTCGGCGGGGACCTGGTCTGGCCAGGGCGCATGCTTCACACCACACATTCACAGCAACCCGTCAGTGATCCCACTGTACACGTCAGGGATCTGGGAAACTCATACCGCTCTTCGGCGGAAGGCCTCGCCTAAGGCGAGACAGCACGCTGGCGCCTGCCTTCGTCGGAGTGCGACTTGGTGGGCACTCCTCTCCGAGGAGCTGGGAGTTCTGTACCATGAACCTCCCGCAGACTCGGCAAAACAGGACACCACGCAGCACCGCGAGGTCGTGGGACGAGTGCGCACGGGGAGCCCCAGGGTGCGAGATCGCGGCCTCGCGCTCCGACCCGCACGTTATCTGTCGCGCCCCCACACACCGACCAGGGAAGAACTCGGAAACCTTTCCCCTCACGGCCTCAAAAACGCGGCCACCGACAATGCATTTATATCTTAAATTCACAAGCTTGGCACTGTGCCCAGCCGCCTCGAGTCTACTTCTGCGAGTGGCGAGAGAAGGGGGGGCCCTCGGCAGAGGAGGAGGACGCCCGACTCTATCTGACACGAGGCGGCGGCACGTTAAATTAACTTCACGATTAACATCCAGCAGACGCGACAGGACCTTCCCAGTCATGTCGTCTACTTCATTCAGGACATTCACATGGTCCTGTGGGACCTCTCCTAAGGCGGCAGCCTCCCCAGCAAAAAAGTCAGCAACAAAATTCAGGAAAAACTCGACCCTAGTGATGCCCCAAACCTCACGAGTCCCCGCCGTGGAGTGGGCCTTGGTCCACAACACCTCCACAGAGCCTTCACGAGCATCCAGGAGCGTCCAGAGCTGGTCCCAGAGGTCGAGCATAGGCGACGTAGCAGAGATATGAGACCTGTCCCTACGGAGACCACGCACCAAAGGCAGATAATCAGAGTAAGCCACAATATCTCCCACAGTATGTCTCAGCAGCATAATCATAGCATACATTTCGGCCCTGGGGCTCGACTGAGCCGCGGTGGGAAGGGTACCCATGAGGATGGCGTCACAGGCCAGGTCCAAGCTCTGGAGGCTGTCCTCATTGAAACGAACCACAGACCACCCACAGCGCCTGAGCCTCCAATCCGAAGCGTAAATACCCCCAGAGCCGTCCAAACCGCAACGGCCTCCACGCACCACCTGGTCCCCCACGAAGAGGCCCCAAGACTTCACAATCTCGACGGGCGGCGGAATGGGCGCGACAGCGGCAGCCAAGGGCGGCAGCCCACGAGTCCAGAACGCACTCCTGACATGCTCGGGCTGGTTCGCCATCTCGACCAGGTCCAGAGAGCGATGCATCGCGATGCTGACGATCGATGCATTGGCCGAGCATTCCCAGCAGCGGTGGAGGCTAGTTTCCCGAGCGGCCCCACACCTAGGACAGATGCCGTCTGTTTGGTACCCCGCATCTTGAAGCCGAGCTTCGGGCCAGGTACCTGCCGTAACAATGCACACGAGCAATGCGGCATCAGCGCACTGTTCATTCTTGATCATCTTAGCATGCATTCTTCGGAACACCGTGAAATCAGCACCTCCATACAACCCTTCTCCACAAAAATGCTGAGCCGCCTTGCTAGCATGTCCCCGAGAAACAGACTGCCGCACAGCAGCACGGAGATGAAACATGAAGTCGCTCGCCTCCAAGCAGAGCACTCCGCAAGGCGTGCCCCACTGTGTAGGAGAAGTGGGCGACCAATCCAAATCGAGCAGGGTGCAGATCGTGGCCGCGATGGGGCCAGCCACCGTGCGCCAGCGGCGCTGAGGCGGGAGAGCAACGAGCCGCGCCCGATGGTGCCCCCACGCCTTGCGCACCCCTTGACGTTGCCCAGGGGACAAGGCCTGCCATACACCAGCAATAGCGGATAACTGTTCAGTACGCAGCAAATATTCAGGATCCTAACTCAGGGGGTTCATCAGGCTGAGGACGGTCGAGGTACATGCACCTTGACTCCAGTATCCTGAACACTTCGCGGCCTGCGATCGGAAACTCTGCAGATCGGACACGGTCAAACCTATCACAGAATGACCCCACGATCCGACGCTGAGCACACCAGGCGTAAAGATCTTGCGGGATCGACCGCACAGGCGAGCGAGGTAGGCCAGCTTACGAGAGCGCTTGAAAGCCGTCCGCTGGCGCAGCTTGATCTTCCATGCACATCTCCTCCTCCCCGCCGTGGTCATGACCCCCAGATCCTTCACCTGCCCTTTGAATGAGATAGAGACCCCCAATTCATCAAACTTAGCAGACAACTCCTTGGCCAGATCAGAGGACGATGCAACTGCGGCAGACTTAGGCGAGATTAAACAGCCAAGCGTGCCCACATCTCGGCAGAACTCGGCGGCTGCAGCAGGCAGAGCAGAGACAATATATTTGCGCGTACCTTGCATGTACTGTGTAATGTCATCAATGTAGGAACGAATCGGCACCACTGGGAGACGACAATGTGCACGCTCGAGCACTCCATGCAGATACGCCTTGACCCATGGAACCGACTGCGAACATCCAGCGAGAATAGACCTGCCCGTGCCAATGACCTGCGAGACGACCCCTTCCACCTCGAGCATTCTAGGGCTAGCGTGCACAAGCATGCCGAAGTAGAGGAGGTGAGGAGGATAGTCAACCTTCAGAGCCAGCTGCACCAAGAGGGCGGGCACGACAGAATCAAAAAACTTCTCCATGTCCCAATGCAGAGAGGCCGAGTCAAACTTCAAAGCACCTGCAACTTCGTGGCACACTTCGCGCAGGAGCGCTGCTTGCAACGCTGAGGAGTTACTCACTGCACTGTCCCAGAAGTCCGCGTGCTCAGCCGTCCATTCATGGATGTGATCACCGCGCATACGTGCATACATGCGATACATAGCGGAACACTTGCTGATTGCGCGCTC